CATTATTGGTTCCTGTTATTGGTATATTAATATAAAATGGTCTCTGCCGATTTCTTTTTACTTTACTTCAGAGAAATGAGAAGAATAATTTGGTCTGTCTTGCAGGTGAAGATTACCCTAGTGAAGGCAGTTCAGTTCCACAGCATGAGTCCTCTCAGGAAGGTGCAGAGTTTGTTTCAATGAGGGATGAGAGTGACGAAAGTTTGTAAAATTCAGAATTAAATTTCATAATGAGAAACTCTTTGTAAGCTATAATTATGCATCAACTGTTTCCTGGCATATGATGTTCTTTGTTTGTGAAGAATGGGAGGGGGGGGGGGGATAGGTTCAACATGAGACTCAGAACATGTACCTGAGGGTGAATAGAAATTATTGAATAAGGTTCATTATGTCAGCCATCAAAGATTATGTATTTAATACACTGGCATACTTAAGTACCATGTTGAATGAATTCCAAGATTACAAACTAAATTTCTCCAAATACATCTGTTATCAGTAAGTAAACAATTTTTACTTTCATCATGGCTGCTAAGATTGTGCAGTCGTCTGAATGTGCCAGTAGTTTATTAACATTTCTTTGGATGAGGTAAGGAGTGAGGATTCAATGTTGTCTTCCAGCTTCTTACTTTCGTTGGTGGTCTGAATCTCATTCTTTGTCACTTAGTGTATTATCTGTTGTCTTAACAGTGTGGGACTGCGAGACACAGTATTGGTTATGATAGGTGAAGCTGCATGAATGTCACAGTCAGTATGAATGCAGGCTTGCAATATTTATTCAGAAAGGGTACATACTGCAGCCTCATTGGAAGTAACATCATCAACAAGTCTCTCAACCAGAATCCTTCAGTTTGGAGTTTTCCCACTTTCATAGGTTCCCAGTCAGTCATTCTGTTCTCTTTCATTGAAATTCTTTACTTCCACTGTTTTACCATTCCCATGTAACTACTACCATATATTTGGTCTCATTCTTCTATGTCTTCCAATTGGAATCCAGTGAATTAGCTGTTCTACCACTCTCTCATCATATCTATACTATAGCAACTTACTCTTTCTGTTATATGTGCTTCTGTTCTGAAAGTAATTTCAGTCAATTTTACCTATTTCACAAATCCATGTTTGCTAAATTCAGTCAAATTATTTCTATCTGATATGTCCAAGCACACTACATTAAAATATTGCAGTGTATTAGTCATTCCTTTCTGTATTCCCTCCCCTAGACTGTAATATTTCATTTGACATTTATTTTACTGTTCGACCTGAGCTTCTAATCGAACTTCAAACTTCATTGATAGCAGGACCAACAGTGCACATAATTATTTATGTTCATGTGAAATTGGTGTACTGTAACATTCTTATTTGATATTCAATACAGACAGTTGGCATAAGGGTATGATGACACGAACTCCTTTCATATTCAAAAAGTAGCTTTCTTCCATGATTCAAATTGCTTGAAAATTCATCTTTAATTTCTTATATTTATTTGAATTGTAATCCAGAACTATACTGTATCATTTTTTAAATAGAAATGTCCTTAATCAATAGCAACAACAGAGTATGACAGAAAGAGATAGAACAGTAAGGACAATTCTGAGTTCTTGTCCACACTGTAAATTCCATTGTCACCATAAGGTATCTTTTAGAGAAATTCTCTGACATCTTAAATTAGCCAGTTTTATTTATTATTGGTAACAGTACTGACTCTGTTATAGTGTGCACATTTAGTAAGTATGATATCTCGCTCAGAAGTGACTGCTGTGATTTGATTTGCAACTTGTAGAATTATTTGACATTTCTGTTTTACTGTACAGAATCTTCCGTGGGCAATACAGTGTGTGACACCAAACAACAAC